CAACCATACTGAATATGATAAATCACATAAACAAGAAAGGAATGAGTCTTGAGCTATAAAAGATCAAGAAATAGAGAAAACGTAATTTCCTTTTGTAGTTGTTTCAGTAGTTAATCATTATTATTGCAAATGTGTCTCTGATTTTTAATTGAATTTACTTACCTTTACCATCTGTCTGCTGGGGGGGAGGGAGTGTTGGTTTTATACCATTTTCCTCTGTAACTGAGGATCACAAAATAGCTATATATGGCTGAAAAAGTATCTATGAGGTATCTGTTGGATGAGGACCCCATATGTGGATCAAAGGTGGATGGATTTGAGATAATCCTGTGCTTCCAGCCTCTCTTGAAATTCCTCTGAAGGATTTATGTCTCACTCTTCAGCTTTATTTCCAAGCTTTAACAATGGCCAGATTTTGTCATTTTTTGTGATCCTGCTTTGCCAAGCAGGATCACATTCCTGAAGTACATACTGTGATACAGACATTATTTTCTATTTGATGTAAGCAAGGCTGTAGTATCAAACCCTTAATAAAAAATTCTTCTCTGATTTGATGAAGCAGTGCTGCTGATAAAGGATGTGAAGGACTGCAGAATTGTCTCTTAGAGTTATGAAAATTGGAATTTCTGTGTCAAGAAATTTAGATTTCAACTTCAGAGAAACCTGAATTTCACACCCAGTGGCAAATTCAGTTTGCATTTGTTGAGATTTACCCCAGGTGCTTAAATGATGGTATATTGGGGATTTATGTAGAGCTAGGAAGCTGATAGTAAAAATTCTCACAAAAGGAAGAGCTTGCTTGCAGAAGTAGTATCACCGGTACACTGAACACTTTAATTGTGTATGCAAGCACTTCAAGCTCAGCAGAAATGAGGTTGATGTTTGCATTGTTTATCTAAGAGAATTCATAAGGGAAATAATAACCAGAAGTGTGTTTCTGCAAAAATAGCTGATACGAAAACACAATGGAGAAATGCTTAGTGTTGGACAATTCTTTGGAGAAACATTGTTCTGCAAACTGAACTCAATTTAAATCTAACTTAATATTTCATTGTCTGACACGGATTATTGACCTCAAAAATTAAGTAACTTGAAGGTTAACTGCCAATTGTACTGTGATGTCACATAAGATAAATTTAGAGATTGGAAATTCAGAGCAAAGGACAACCACTAGCATTCCAAATCGCACTGTCCTTATAAGTGCAGAGCTTTCAAGCAGCTTAGGAGTGTGGTATGTATGATTATTTCATTTCTTCCAGGTTTATTACTTTTGATTCATAACTCTAAGCATGTGTCTAGAAATACTGCTGGAGCCTAGGCTTAAGGAAAAAAGAATCAAGCCTATAGAGGGAGTATTCTAACTGGGAAATATAAGAACGTGATCTGTGCTTTGGAAGTGTGGTGTACTCTTTGTGAAAAGGGTATTTGCCCAGGCAGAAATGTTACTTCTGTGACAGATAGATTGATCAGTGTTTTTTAAGTAGCTCTTTATGGAGAATGCTACAGTTTAATTTCTAAAATTCATGGTCTGTCTTGTTCTTCCACTGGCTGACAACAGAATTAAGAGTTATGCACAATAAGTTATGGAATTTAGTTTCAGAGAGTCTGAATTTATCTGATATATAAAAATCACTGTTTTGTTTATATTCTAATACATTTTCTCTTGACTTTAAATTTTTGTGGTGATTCTGAGCACAACAATTAATGAAATATAATTAAAGTCTCTAGTAAGGCTTTAAAAAGGAGTCATGTTATTTGGATCTATAGAGTGTATTTTTTTATTCCTAAACATTTAGTTTTCCCTTTTTAGAGAGATGAAAAAAAACCCTAGTGGTTTTCTTTTTTCCTTTATTTGTCACAAGATACTTACTGTCTTGAACTTTTCCCGTTTTTAACTCTGCAAGTGTGATACATTCTGGAACTGATGTATAAAAAAGCTACTTACAGTGAAATGAAGTATCTGTTAACAAATGCAGTTGGTGCTTACTTGCCACTAATCTGTGACAGTATTCCAAGGGCACTCTTGTCAAATTTAGTTTATTAACCTCACTGAAAACTAAAGAAGCTGTATCTGCAATTGATTTGAAGCAGAAGGTATCTTCAGCAGCGAGTAGCCTTTCCAGTTAACACATAAACGTCCCTTTTAAAACTGTGTGTTTCTTCCTGAATGCTGCTCTCGTTCTTTCTGCATATAATATATTCATATCTGCAGGACAAGTGGTTATGTATGGTGGCGTTAAGTATCTTCAGTTCCTATCAGCTGTAATATTGTAATTAGTGCCTCAAAGGTTCAGGCCATTTGTATGATACCATTTTCTGTCTGGCTAAAGTCCAATGAACTGATTCTCCAGTCGCTGCTTGGGCAAAGGATGCGGGCAGTAAGGGGACGTAGGCAGTATGCATGTTTTTGTATCTGTACCTGTACCATTGCCTCAGGGCTATACTAACATCCACCTAGCTGTCTGTTTACATCTGCATTAACTCTTTTCAAGAAGGATTTCTTTATCGCTTGCTTGGCTGGTTTCACAGTTCCTTGCATTCACAGCTGATCTAGCCTGAAAATTCACTAATTTGGCAACAAGATGGGTACACCACTGGGACTTTCTGCCATTCTGTTTTGCATATATCTGCTTTGCCTTTCAATGTACATGAATGGCTCTAGCTTTTGGAACGCACTTAATGAATTAACTGAGCGAAGCTCACTATAGGACTGGTGCAGGGCAAAGACTACGTTTACCCTAGAGGTGACAGTAACCCCAGTGGGTCATTCTGACATCCAAAGATAGCCTTAACTGGCATATTTACTGTTCTTGCTTTACTCATGGGCACAAAACATGCTTTGGCTGAGAGTCATAGCTAGCACACAGTCCTGGAGGAGGTTTGTGGTAGTTGGCTTTGATAGTTTTGAACACCAGTAGTAAAGGCAGAGTCTGTCCATGTATGTTAAATCTCAGACTTTATGCTGTAAAGCGCAAAATAAGGACAACACAAGAACTCAGTTTTGCAATAATACTCACACTGCTTTGCATTTTACCCAGAAACTCCTGCTAAGCCATGGTATGCAAGTAGAACATGCAGTAAAGTGATAAAGCCTGTCTGACTTACACAAGCCCACTTTCCACCTAAGCACTTGAGTATAAGGAAATTTTTGTTTCAGGCATCTACATGTGCTTGCAAGATGAGTCAACCATACTTATGTATGATTTGCTTTTTTGCTTCATAGAGCTCTCATTGATTGTTTCCATAAATATTTACTCAACACGCATTTCAACCCACCGTTTTACATGAACAGTAGGCAAGACTCGAGTTATTACAGCTTCCATGCATGTGTACACACAGACCGGCTCTGTTGGCCCAGTGTGAATAATTGTTTATCTCAAACATATAAAACTTCTAACCTGTAGCTAATTTTTGAGTGCTTGTCTGTAACTTTTAAGACAAACACAATTAGAAATAATAGTAATTTAGAATAGCCATATAATAATAATTTAGTGTAGGGAGAAAAATACCGAGTTTTAATTATTTAATGGTACAGTATAATTCTTCCTTCTGTTGAAAGGCATATTTTAATTCCGCTAATGTTTTTTCAGTAATAATGGCAACTTCATATTGTAAGTACTCTAATGGAATATGCTGAATAAACCAGCAGCCATAAAAGAAATTACTTGGTATTTTACATATCAATTCCCTGGGGAATGAGAGCAAGGACTTTGCATCTGGAAGATTCATTTCTAGTTTAAAAGGGGATGAAAATGTTTAATAAAATGAATTCACATACTTAAATAATTCCCAGACATTAACATGTCCGTGGGGTTCATGTACAGAGATGAATGTATTTTAAAAGTTGACTAAATGTCCTCAGATTGCTGTAGTTCTCAGCTGTCTAGAAGAATGTACCACGCCAATCCACAAAGTTCCTTACATTACGATGCATTTAGTAGTGCGTGTGCAAATTGAGGTCTACCAGAGTATGATGTAAGTACATTAGGAAACCAAAGAAGAAACCTGCAAAGCCCTTTCTGTCTGTCTGTATCAAATAAACCATTCATACGCTTGGGTGTGTGTTAAATGAATGAGAAATGTAGCCAACAGTTAAACCAGGTTTCATTGTGTATACAGACTTCAAAAGTGTGCTTGCTTATACAAACCCTCTTCTTTCCCATTTGGAAAGGAAATTATTAATGGTTTTCATCAGCCTTATTTGGGTTTTTCAACTTTGTGAACTTCATCTGTGGCACCTGGGTGCTCACAATATGCAAAAACTTTGGACTGTATTATGCAAGATACCAAACTTGGTAGCAAACTCAAACGCAGAAAATTTGCCCATCTTTCGTGCTCCTCTCTTTACCTGGTGGCATAGATACCCAACTTATCTTCTGTGCTGCCTGGACACTGTGGACAAGGCCTTGGACTGCAGAGCAATGTAGACTGATAACAATTTCCCCCTTGATGTGACAGTGGTCCATTCACATTCATTTTTTGTGTTCTTGACATGAACTTGCTTGTTTTGCCATGGATTTCTGTACTTGGGAGGTTACTTGCTATTTTTCTATGGTGTAAGCAAGGTTTTTTACATGTCAAATTTACTAACAGTAAACATGGGGTTTTTTTGTTGAGAAACTGGATGAGAGACCAGAGATCCCTATCTGTAAAGGGGTTCTATCTGTAAAAAAATGTAAGAGCAAACCTTAAAGGTTTTGAGCAGAGTGCTTTGTTAGCAATACTGATCTTGGAATTCCTGCATAGTGGTGAATTAATTCTGAGATGAGAATACTTGGGGGGCACTAAGGTACAGCTTCAACTACCAGCATACTCTTAATATTTTTCATCTAAGAATAGAGGTAACTTTTTATAATTGCTGTGTGTTGGAGGTGAAATAGATCTCAATAGTCTGACTTTCCTGAGCAATTGGAAGCCTCTATGATGTTTTCACGTCACTTAGGACAAGAAAAAGAAAAATACTTGAGTTTGGATCTGACAAACTTTGTCTCTTTCCTAAGTTGCTGACCAGCAAAGAAGAGAGAAACTGAAAAAGAAGATAGCCAGGTGCGAAGAGGAAGTGAGTGTGGGTAAAACTGCCTCCAGAACCAGCTCAAGAGAGAGCGGAAGGCTGCTGATATCCCCTTTTGGAAAGGTAGATACTTTAATTTTGTTTAGTACATATCATAGTCTGCTTGCCTCCCATAGTAACAGTTGTGCAGCAGCTCTGGCAGGAGAGCTGGCATATTTTAAGCAGCAGAAAATAGATGAGGGTCTTCCTGGCACATCCCTAACACCAAATGCATGTCTTGGCCTTCTGACAAAGATGTCAAGTATCTGGAGGAAAAGTGCTTGTGGTAAATTCAAGCTTTAGTTACCCTTGAATTCTCTTGCTTTCATCTCAGCTGAAATTTTAATGTCCTCTGTCACTCCAGAGCTTTCTACTGTTTCCTAAAGCAGAATTTCAATTAGCACAAACTATCCTAGCAGAAGAATTGAGAATCTTCTATTTATTTTTTTTTTCTGTATCCTAAGTCCTACTTTGGAAATACATTTCATATCTAACAGCATACTACATGCTCAGATTGCAGTTATTCATAGAATCACAGAATCATAAAGTAGTTCGGGTTGGAAAGGACCTTAAGATCATCTACTTCCAACCCC